CCTCATCAATAAACTGCTTCGTGGAGAAATTCTTAAATAGAAATAATCTCCTTCCACTTACCGATATCTACGGCACTATAGGTTGAAATTCAAAGAAAATAGCTATAACTTTCGAGAGAAGACTTATGAGCCTTCGTTCATTTGGAGGTTTTCATACTTGTCTCACATCTATCTGATACTAATGGCTCGAACTTAAAATCAAATTCACATCTAAATAGGATTCTTCGTTAGCATTCAACTAAAATTCTAGTAACATAGGGATAATCCTCTAGAGAAGAGCTAATGCAAGGCATCCGTCGGGAATTTTTCTCATCTCACCGATAACTACCTTTTGCAGAGAGGCTCAACTCAAAACCGAATTATCATTTCCACGCGCAACCTCATTAGATGTAAATACCTTGGAAGATTCGTACGAAACCATTTGTACGAAGCCTTTTGAACATCATTTTGGAAAGGTTTTGTACTGAACCTTTTCTACGAAACCTTTTTGGCTTTTTCCTATAAAGGTTTGGTACTGAACCTTTTGTGCGAAACCTTTTAGACTTTTCCGGTAAAGGTTTCGTACTGAACCTTGTGTACGGAACCATCTTTCCCATTCACCAAGAAAAAGTTTCATACGAAACCTTCTTCTTGCGAAACCAGCAAAGGTTCCGTGGCTGTGCCCGCAGTCAGATCCTTTTTTGGTTTCGTAAAGTACCTTTCTTTTTTAGAGTGTTGGGTAAAGACATTTTTATTATTTTTTTGTGATAAACAGGTTCTTCTTTTTTTGTTGGTTCTTTGTTACATTAGTTAGTTCATTTGATTAGAAATAGAACATAAAAAAGATTAATTTGATCTTGAAAACAAGATGAGACTGAAAAGTAGAAAAAAAGAAAAAGAGGCGATAAATATAGGCACAAAATGTTCATATTCAATCAAAATTTAATAATAAAATAAATATGATGAATAATCAATGATTAGTTGTACTGTTTGAAAAAGAATTTTTGCAGTTTGAAGTATAATTATTTGTGGTAGATAATGATTAATTCTTTCTTCATCAAGATGAATTGTTGCAAGATTATCGATAAATTCCAACCAAGGACTTAAAAGCAAAAACTAATAAACTTTTTCTTCACAAAATACATTTTACATTTGTTCAATTGCTGTTTGCCACCAATATTTTTGATTTTGTGTACATAAATTTATTGATCAATAAAGTAAATATGGATGTAATGTTGATTCTCCTTCATATGAATGTACACTTTGTTGTGCACTTAAAAATAGAAATACCTAAACAATGAATTAAGAAAAATTAATTTATCTTTATTTTTATTTACAATAACATCTCGTTCATTTAATGATTGAATTAAGATTGGTTTTTGTTCAAAATCAATTGGTATTGTAGAAAAATGGTCACGTGTTATACAATCATTTAAAATTAAAAGATCGAAAAAAAGAATTTTTCAAAATTATCTTTTATTTTACCGCTAAGTGATATTCGACCAGCTTCAATTATACAAGATAATGTCCATATACAATGAATTAATTTTCGAATATTATTTACTAAATAAAAAGAAATATATGTCGCAGGAGAAATTAAAATTCAGAAAAATTTAAAATTTTCCTAGGAAAAATTAAAATTTTTATTTCTCCTAGGAGAAAGTAAAATTTCAATCTTAACTGGATATTTTCTAGGAAAACTTAAAATTTTAGTATCTCCTAGAAGAAATTAAAATTTTAATTTTTCCTATTGGAGAATTTTAAATATTCATGAACATATAATATAAACTTCATGTTTTAATTTTTTCTATGGGAAAAATTAGTATATTTTTTACGTCCAGTAATATCGATAGAGAATCAGAATCAATTAAAATGTACAAGTAAACGTCTAGTATATCATTTGAGTAGATATTCAAATCTCACGCTCTTATTTCTCTGGAATAGTTTTATAAATTACTTGATAATCATATTGAAGGTTTAAAATAGCAAGTGTCAAGAGAAGTTTTCTATAAAACAGTCACTATATGATGATATAATTTTGTTTCTCCGTGATGGTAAGGGAGATTCTCAGCTCAAATTCTGGGTGACCAGATATAATCTCTTCACAATTTCAACCACTAGATCCATTAAATTTTTATCTCACTGTAACTTTCGTGACTTACGTGATGTCGATTCAACAACTTTACTGACAATGACGTTCATTCAAATCTGTAAAGCTTATGTGAGTGCAGGATTAATTACTCTCTCTGCAGCATGTAACTGTAATGGCACTTTTCAACAAAGAAATGTCGTTCTCGAGCAGCAAAAATACAATGTGGCACTAAATGTCATTTATCAAAAACGAAACCATGTTGAAATGTCTACTTTAATCTTTGTATTTTTGAAATATAAAAGTAATAAAGTTTATATTATATATATTCAGGAATATGTAAAATTCTCCTATAGGAAAAATTAAAATTTTAATTTCTCCTAAGAGAAATAAAAATTTTAATTTTTCCTAGGAAAATTTTAAATTTTCCTGAATTATAATTTTGTCCTGTGACATATATACTAATTCATAGAAGCAAAGAGAAACCAAATAATACTACCATTGATAAGATGTTTTCTTTGAAAAAATGATTTATTTTCAGCATTTTGTTTTCTCGTATGGATCAGTAAAAAGGACGTTCTTAAAAAATTTTTGCGTTTTATTTAAGTATCGTATTTCATTTTGTCTTTTCTATTTAACTATATTTAGATATACTCTTACCCTGACTCTTACATAGAAACAGATTTAATATCATCCGTTCTTTATGCGTCACCTCTGATTTCTTAATTTTTTTTTATTGCGAAATATTTACAGTAGAGTTCCAAATGTGTCATATTATCTTGATTAAAACTCAATTCAAGTATTGACATTGTGTTTCTCTAATTATATTATCTTCTGATACTTACATGGCAAAAAAATCATATCTTTTGTTTCATTGAGTGTTGAAGTAGAAAGTCAAGCAAATAAAAATAAAGTCAAGAGAACATTCAAGGACAAGATCATTTCCATCTGTTTATTTCATTTTTTTTTTCGTTTGACAATAAGTTTTAATTCAATAAGCGTTTTAACAGTATAGTTTTTACATTAAAAATGATACTGTTCTCTTATTGTTAGGCTGCCTAATTCTTTAATAAGGATTTAACTATGTAAAACAATTATTTAAACATTTATATTTGTCGAGAAAAAAATGAAATAATAACTTGTAATTATTCATATGTATGCAAGACGAATCACATTGAATAAAAACAACTTGAATACTCTCTGACTAATCGACCCAAAGGTCATAGTATGAAAAACAATATAGATAAATTTATTAGAATATGATATACACTAGGAACTAATGTTTGGTACAGAAAAATTAGTTCGACTGTTACATTTTGATTTAATTTAATTATTATTAAAGATCTCTTCATGTCTTAAAACATGATAAAACAAAGTAGCCCTATTGGTGTACTTTAATACTTCATAATCATGTTGTTTCATCATTATTTCTTGTGCTTATTTAACACCAATTATTCAATGAATTGAATTCATTAACAGTGGTCTAAAAGTTTGAATAGTTGTTTTTGTATTCATTACTTATCCAAATCAAACAATAACAAGTGTATTATCGGTTTATGAAAATTTCACAGTGAACCCGTCTATATCTATAATACATAAAAGAATTTAAACAGATATTATACTAATAAATTGATGTGATTTTTTTTCGAATTCTCGTATATTACCGAAGAAAATAGTGATTGTAAACTAAAAAGCGAGATTTCTGTAGCTCTGCAGTCCTTTTCCTCCTATTGCAAATGTTAACAAATAAATTTTAATTCGAGAAAAAGAGCCGTTTAAAAAATATCTTTTGGAAGTGTAGAAATAGATACGACAGAGTTGTGGTCTAATGATCGATTAATTTGACTAATGTTGAACGAAAGATACATGTGTTCCATCTTTTAACGTCAAATAGTCTACATCAACAAGCCCTTTGCTCTTTGACTAAAGTAAAACAAATTTTGATATGCAAATAAACAACATCGACTTATTAAATTAATTTGTTGAAAGTAAATAATATTCATATCTACCATAAAGTATGAGAAATTCGATGATATTCAAAATAATTATCTCTCAATTAAAATGAGTAATGAATATTATGATTCAGTCTGATTAAGAACAAAAATAGATTATCTGATATATTTTTTTCTTCTTACGATATTATTTACGGGTTCAAATTCCAACTTTCTTTTAACATTCAAATTTGAATAAAATGTGCCATTTAAAATAAAAAATTTTCTATTTTCTTTGTCCAATTCAATGATTAATTTTTTCCATTTTACGTTTTTATCTGCGATTGATAACATCATTCAATACTCATATGTATATGTCGTATCGAAGTTACACCGGTCGACGAAGTTATAACTTCATTGTATAAACGTGACGAAGTTAATTTTAATTCATCTATCAATAAATAACTCACTTCATTGAACATCATACTGTTGAATATATAATCAAAAATAATTTTTTTTTAAATAAATATTCATTTATTTAAGAATATTCTTAAATAAATGAATAATTATTTTAAAAAAATTTATTTTGGATTATATATTCAACAGTATGATGTTCAATGAAGTGAATTATTTATTGATAAATGAATTAAAATTAACTTCGTCAAATTTCTCTGTCGAAGTTGTAACTTTGATGAAGATCATCGTCGAAGTTATAACTTCGTCGACCGGTGTAACTTCGATACGACATACACAGGTATTGTATGTATGTCTAACTGTTGATTTCATTCAAAATAAATTAGTTTTCAAGCTATTTATCAAAAACATAATATACTTACAAAAACAAAATATGAGTAGTTTCTGATGTATTTAGCTAAAAGATTAAATATCTCTCAAAATTGAAACAAATTTAACATAAAGAGAAAAGAATAATTTTTAAATCGATTTCAATATTTTTAAGAAGTTTTACAGAAAAGATACTTTCTAATAAATAGTTTAATTAGAAAGATTGTATTATCAAACAGTCTTTTTTCTTTCACGTAGGCAATAATGTATATTATGTCATATCTGTGTATAAGAAAAAAGATCTAGCATCGTAAATGATAAATAGTGTTGTTACATTTATCAACTGTTATAGTAGAGATAACTCCGCCATGGCCGGTCCCAAGCCCGGATGAGAAAGGAGGAGGGTTAGGCGTCGGGCTAGCAACTCGACCCTGGAAAAACATAAACCGCTAACAAAACAACAAGTGAAATTCAACAAAATAAACCAAACCGGCATACGGACACCAGCTCATCTTACATGACGGTACTGGATGAAAGCCGCAAGGAAGTCCAGTTCCTGACACAGAGCAGGATCCTGAATGCCAAAACCATCACAAACATTGGAACTTGGAATGTACAAACACTCTACCAATGTGGCAAATTAGCTCAACTACTCAAGGAATTCAGCACATATAAAATGGACATCTTAGGCATCAGTGAAATGAGATGGACAAGAAATGG